TATATGGAGGAGTTTGGAGGAAAAAAGGAAAATTTTACTGACTGGTGGAAAGTGTCGTTGACCATGGCCGACTCTTTAGACCCGTTTTCACTGCAACCACTTGTACAGAATAATCTCGACCAGGGTTCAGATTTCCTGCAAATGAACTGCTCCAAAGGTTAATCTAGTTGCTTGGCAGTTTCTGACTGACCTAGGTAAACTTCAAGGTTCTTCTGTTCAGGAATATCAAGCACCTCCAGTACGGGATAGCTCTGCTCTGGTTCCAGTTGTCGATATTCGATCAGGAAAGAGTCCTGAAAACTTATTTACATGCATCCATAATCGATTATACAAACAAACGCTGACGAACTAGTTGATGCCAGAGGATTATCACTGAGACTTAGGAGAAAAAGAATGGGAGATCAGGAATTGAGAACTGGGCAAAGGAACCAGTTGAAAGTGTGCCAGTGAAGAGAAAACCAAAACGCCAAAAAATTGGAAAATCCTGGGTTGATCTCGGTAATCATGAACCAAGCTATACTTGGGATAATGAAATTGAAGGAAATGTAGAAGGGAGAAGAAAGGCCTAGAAATATCTAAGAAAATCAAGGAGATCATTAGGAATCACTGGGAAACAAGGAGGAGTCTGGGAAGCCCTTACAGGAAAAGTGAACCGTCAAGTCATGAATCACAAAAGGAGTTTATGATGAAGGGGTACGGTGAAAATACCGTAGAGGTGTTTAGAGGTTGAGAAGCAGAGGATGGTGGAACAGTATAAGTCGAAATAAGAAATAATCGCTTCCCAACTGATGATTGGTAGAGCCGATTCACCAATATCCTGAAGGTGACGAACCAGAATCTCTAAGAAATTCTGATATCGAGTTCAATTAAGGAAAGCAAGCTTTTTCGGATTACTGGTAAAACGAATATTGTATCGAACAGTTACTGTGCCTTACCTGAAGGAATTTTTCATTCTTGACAGCTCTAAGGGTGATGTTATGCATGGTAATATCGGAATTTTGTGTAGTAAATTCTGGTACTCGTGGATCCATAACAACCAGCTCCTCTTTGATAACGGACGAGTTCTCACCTTTGCGACCGACGATGGAAATGCTAGAAACGGTTTTCATCTCCATTTGTTATCTTCTCAGTACATTGATAATTTAAAAAATCTGATTCCTTCTTTGATGTCCGCTTTCAAGGAATTTTTACGAAAGTCTTCTCTCTGCTCCACCGAATGGATTAATCCTAATGTTTTACTGTCCATATGGGAATTTGGATTCAGTTCGCTCGTCCCTGACTGTGAAAAGATGGGTGTGATTGGTGGTCCGGGTCGCTATTGCTACGCACCGCATCTGGGGATCAGTCAGTTCATTTTTGCTCAGATCAGCTGTTCCCTTCAGCGATTTTTCTATTAGTGTCAGCCCTTCCGACCCTCCTGGTGCTTTGCAAGATGAACCAACTGGAAAGTTGGGACGAATATATCCTCCCAGATTAGGACAAAGTTATTGTTTACATTTGGATGCTTACGCAGACATAAACAACGCTTTATCTGGTCGAAGCTTAAAAACTGTCGGGCTTAGTCACCCTTGACGCACGTTCAAGTTGTAAACGAGAATCAATGGCCCGACTGTTGAGATGTTCCATTTATTATACAATGGGTTAAACGCTCTGAATTTGAAAGAGTACTTGAGTATAGGGTAACAGTAACTCGCCGGAAAACCTCTTAGGGGCCCGAAGAATTAAGAGTACAAGCACGGAAGTACGAAGGTCTGCAAAAGATTTTGCACATTCTGCTGTATTACTATGCTGAGCTCTAGTAAATCACCCTATTCAAAACAACTGACATTAATAAACCCCTCTTTAAGATGCGCCATGCATTTAGGTTCCAATCGGAATCATAGTTGCCATTGAGTCGTAATACCTTACAACTAATCGCTGTATTTGTGCTATGTCGAATCAAAGTTGCTTTCTACCGAATAAATCTATCAGGGTGACCAAACATCAGAGAAATGAAAGGTTCGATTGGCTTGGGTAGGTATCGATACTCGGGACAGTGGTGGCGACACTTGTCGTCTCCCCTTTTGGGCTATTTTGACCCCTAATGTATTCAAACCTTTGAATTTCCCATTGAGAGCAAAAGGTTTACCTGTATTTGTGTCCCGGTTGAAGTGTATGAATACGAATAGTGCCGGAACCATCAGCCGACGATAAGAACGTCCTATTTACATCTCGAATTGATGGATCTCTGTACGATGCAAATATGAGAACACGCAAAAAAGGGGGCTATACAAAATTGTCCGAGAAATAGGGCATTCTACTCACATCGTTGAAGAAATATCGACGACTTTTGCAATGAATTGATCATAAGAGGGATGAGTATACGGTAATTTGACTATAAGTTGAGAATCAGGTAATTTTTGATCTTTTTCAATCTTGAATTCCAATAGGTCCAACTGAAAAGGACTGAATTTCATATTTGAATCCTCCTCGTGAATCCTATTTGAATCAAAATTCGTACCTTCTTTTCATGAGTATCTTCACTGGATTCTGCATTTGAAGCTGCTGAAAAGCTATTTTTGAAAAAAGCAATAAATTTCTGGCCGTGAAAGTTGAATACGCGCTAGATATGATTGATGGTGGTGCTCTTTTGTGAAGTAATTCTGGTTCTATGGAACCCCCCGAAGAAAAAAACCCGACTGGATGTTTTCCTCAGAACGGCAATGGAACCGATAGGCTTTTCTTGCCAACTAGCGCAACTTTAACCGGTGTTACGGAGCCGTCGTAATGTGGCTTTCATCTATGCCATTCATGCGAAACTTTGACAAAAATAAAAGGGTAAACACAGTGTACAGTATTTATCAGAATTAGTTATTTACTATTATTATTGGCAATATTATTAGGCTTAATTATCACTAATTATTTCATAACTTACTGTAGCCATAATAACCGTAGTAGGTGGTATATCGTTGAATGGATTACTGTAATCCTTAATCCGCTCCACCCCGGTTTTTCGGTATTCTGAATGTGCTGATGTTCCTCTACCACACCCCAACCCCTTCTCTTCCCAAGCCGGCTTTGTCTTTTCCCCCTTACCCATGGCTCCCACGAATATACTCGCCTGGAGTGAGCCATGCATCCGGAATGCTTGTCCACAACCTCCACATGTAATCTCATCCCCATGTTTTTGAAAGTTTTTCGAACATGTCAGTCAGGCAACGACGGCAATGAATGTCATTTTTTATGGAGCGTAACTCCAAGACATCTTTTTTTGAAGGCCATCGGATTCAAGATGGTAAACCAAAGTTTTCCCAGCCCAGAAATAGCTTTCAGGGTACGTCTTTCTGGGATAGAGTGCTTGTTGAGGTTTTCAATCTGGGATGGGTCACTTTTCAAAGAATCACAAACATGTGGGGAACTCCATTGTACATAAAGTAATGTGGGTAATAACGACGTTTAGAATGAATTTTCATACCCTTTTCAATTCCTTTCCGTGAATATTCCCAAAACTGTCTTCTCCCCTACTATCCTTCCGTTTCCCCTGTCCCTCGTCTTTTTTCCCGGTGTGTTCTATGAATAAATCTTGAAGGATGAATATGGTGAATATCTATAGGAATCGGTTTCCTGCTCCAGAACAGGAAACGAATTCCATTAGAGACGTTTCCTGATCGGGAGTTGTAATAGGAAGAGCTCCTCCCTCCTGAAAGAGCTCGTTTCAATCAGAATCGTTGTTGAGCTCCAAAACAGGATCTCTCTAGTTCGAAGTCCTGGGCAAAATGACACGTCTGGATCCATGAGTACATGCCCCACAGTTTTGGACTTTTCACCTTTCCCATACCCTCTTTTCCTATGTAGTCGGCGAAGCATGGGTGTTGACTGTGTAAATATGGTCACAACCTCAATGGTTCGCCGATTCGCGCTGTTGAAAGACAAAAGCCGTGGAAGGTATCGGATTGTTGTTGGAAATTAGCCAGCCATATTGATTTCCTTTCCGCTTTACTGGTACTGGTTAGCATCGTAACTGGTAATAAAAGTTGATGAAACGACGACCAACCTCGTAACTCCTTTGTAGCGAAGACGATGGCTGTAGCCAAGGTCAGCACTGTTCTTATAATCACCATAACCACTTCAAGGGCGACATCTGAAGAAATTCATACGGAACATTTAGCATATTATCAAAAGAGAACGAGAAAACGTCAATAAATTCAATGGAGATTGTAAAGAAGAAATAGCGTAGATAGCCATTCGAATTGGGTCAAGTAGCTGAGAGGATTAGCGGCGGGCAGAAGTCGAGATCATTCGAGAAGGATCAGCGATCAGTTACTGACCAGAACTAGTGCCCCTCCCTCAGACCAACAGATGTTGATAAACAAAAACCACGAGAATGAATCGTCGTCTTATCGCTGTGGACAATCAACATTGGCAATGACCTTTTGTCCCGAGACAAGGATTTTTCAAACGGAAAAAAGTCTGAAATATGAGCGAGAAGCGAAGAAAAAATAAAAAAAGAAACATTGTTGTTCCCTGAAGACATGGTTAGCCCTGATTCCTTGAATTTGACGAGAATTTGGGTGGGGAAGGTGGGTCTACTAAAATCAGTATCACACAATCACCTCATGGGGACGGAACACTGGATGGGATTTTCCTTGATGGCATATAAATTCAGATTTTTATAATGGCCAGGTTTGCGCCATGCATTTGCCTTCGAATTCTCGTCATAATGGCAATAGAATGGGTACATGAATCGGGAAATGAGAGCTCAGGAAAGGGATAACGAGCGATGGACAGTTTGAAGATTTTTCCCATGCAGTCTGATAACAATTCACAGATTCAGAAGAAATGATGAAGGACCCAGTCGATATGGGAGCTATTCGATGTTGGATTTGATCCATGGAGCATGGGGGTGTTGAGATGGAACATGCTATTGTGCACCCACCCACATCCTTTTAGGAAAAGAGCCTAAACCTCTTTTTCGGAGTTTCTTCAAGTTAGATTTGATCTCTCCTGTATAAAATCTGTCACTCGAACTTCCGTTCCAGTCTTCTCCCTCTTCCTTAATCCGCCCTCTTTTTTCGAGTTTCCAGGTTTTACGGTATTGACATTTCCTCCTATTCCGACACCTTAGATCCCTTTCATTCTTCCCCATGCTTTTTTTCTTTTCTTCCTCACTCTTTTTCCATACTACTCTCCATTGTTCCTTCCCTAACAGTGTGATCCTCTTCTCTCCTTCGGAGCCCGTTTACGAGACTAGTTTCTAACATGTTACTGTGGCTGTCTGGGAATAGTCCAACAAAGCAAATGACGGGCATTATGACTGGGTACTTATAATTACGGCTGGTAGTTCAAGCACTAAGAGGGTCCTCGACTCACTCGATAAAGAGGTGATGAAGTCGAATTGAAGAAAAGAAGGCAAAAAATTGTCAAGGATATCTCTTCCGTGGCCTATCATTTTAAACCGAACGGCTCAGATAAAGATAGGATTAGGCCAGGGTAGGAGGCTGTAGAGAAAAGCCTAGAGGTGCCGCATTGAACTTCTCTCTGAAGTTCATTTCAACCAACTTTGTGAAGCCTGAATTAATGACAAGGCAGTAAGAAATTCGAGATCCGAGTAGGTCTAGATGAGATCCTAAAAAAGAAAGTTTCTGTTCAGAAATCTTCCGGAAAGCATCCCGAATGCAATCTGGAATGGAAACAGGAAATACTATGGAAGGGGCGTCTCAGATATGTACCTCACCCCTCCCTTTGCCTATAAAAGTCGCAAAATTGGCAAACTCTGCGTCTATGGCTAGTTTGGTTCATAAAAAGCCCAAAGCTTGTCAAAGTTTTTTTTTGTTTTTTGAAGTAAAAAAAACTTCTTTTGAAAAGTCCCGAAAGCGGCTGAAAAAAGCCCAAAAAAAAGACCCAAGCGAAAGACGACTGACTCATTCCATATTTCATTCTCTGGCAAAAAATCAAACAATTCCTTTGTTGCCGAGTTTAAACACTTTGTGAAACTTGAAATATTCTGAAGTTTTTACTGATGGGTAAATACTGTCTCGCTATGTCTCAGTGCGATTCTCTCGGGCCAGAATCAAGCAGTGGGTCCCCCCTCCCCCTCCCACCACCTTGATAAAGTGTTAAAAACTGCCGTTACACGCTTTTCGGGTGAAATATTCCCACTCCCTCTCTACTCGGTCTTATCATTTTTTCAGTTATCGCGAAAATTCGTTCAGGATGACAAATAATCTACAAAAATTCGATGACAAAAGGTGAATATCGAGAATATTATTTAGCTAACTAAGACTTTTGTTGACTAAATAGAATCACAACAACATCAACAATCTCATAAATATCCACAACAACTGAACAACACGACCACAATAACCACAACTGGATTCGCAAGTTTTTTATGGTTGCTTTCAAAGAATTGGCAGCAGGGTAGCCTTGAGAGTGCAAGGTATAAAGGGCACTGTGTCAGAAAAGCCCTAGAACAGGTTCAAGTGTCGTCCCTGGCTGAAGTTTTACCTATGACTGGTTATTTTGCAAAGACTCTTTCTCCGTGAACTACTGTGAGGAACAGGAATCGAGGGTATTCAAGGGAAATTCAAATGNAATCGTAGGAAAGGCTCGTAGGGTCAACGGAATCGTAGATAAATCGAAACGCAACGCATAAACTTTCAACAATACGCCGATGATCGAATCGAAAGTTGTATGGAACGGACAGATCTATTCGGGAAAGTCATTATGATGAGAAGACGATCGAATCTCCCAGATCATGATATAGACAACTCCAATATAGGGCAATATACGAAGTGATAAGGAAATAGATAGCGGACGATACGCGATGACTAAACGGACGAGCTTTCTCGGGTTTCCAAACTTTGTTGGATGGTTGATTCCCGACACCCCAAAAAGAGAACATCGCATTGTGAGGTTTTTCCCAGTTCGAGCTGGTTGACTAGCAACACTCGGCTTTCTGGTAGAAAAAGTTCGAACTCAGCTACCTGTTTCGAAGGTGGTTGTAGGGAAGGCAGGGGACAGGAATGACATAATAAGAAAGTAGAAGCATAAAAATCAATAAGACAAATCAATACACTGTGTAAATATCGATCGAATCGAAAAGGTAAGATTGGCTGAATAGGTTGAGGTTTCGTGGTTGTGAAACTAGACATACACACACGAGACATTCCGAAACGGTGACATTAGTGAACGAGGCCATCTCACGAGTGTCCTTGTGAGGAGGAACGAGTGCGCTAACGAACAAATATCGATTGAACTCATTCAATCAATAAAATCTAGCTACAGTAACCGATACAGTCAACAAGTAGTAGAACAATGGTGATGAAAAATCGGCTTTTGGCTATAATTTTCGTCTTGCTGGACAATGAATATACGCGACATCGGGCAGCCGTGTAAATCAAACAAACACATCATCCCACACGACACAGCCCACAGATCGATAAGTCAATAAGTCGATATTTGCAATTCGATCCACCGTAATCAATATAATTGAAATGAAAACGAATCCCATCGCGAATATTGCGATAAAGAGGTCAATAAAACTTGCTAGAGTAATCCTACAAC